TTCCATCAGAAAGGGGGCTGCCTTTAGATTACAGCAAGAAACACATTGCATTTGGGATCCTTAAGGGGTGAAAAGAACTACAAAGATAGATAATAGTTGTTATCATCATTGGCTTGAGATGTAAATATAATTAGGAGGAGGTAAAGGAACTCTAAAATTGAAGAGGCAGCATGTGCGTATTGATACCTTGGATATGATAATGATGACTCCAGATTGCCTTCAGCAGTCCTCCAAAAGTCCATATAATCACACAGTGCACCATATACCTTGGCATCCATTCTTACAAGCTTAAATAGAAAATTCATCTGAATTTAAAAAACAGGCATTTGTAATTCTTTGTGGGGAGGAAGATTTTAAAAGATAGAATTTGGAGGACCATATAGTAGGGCAACAAAATGGGTAGGGCGGCTGGGGCACATGACTTCTGAGGAGAGGCTGAGGGAACTGCAGAAGAGAAGACTGAGAGGGGATTTAATAGCAGCTTTCAACTACCTGAAGGGGGCTTCCAAAAAGGTTGGAGCTAGAGTTTTTTCAAAGAGCTTGGAGCTACAGCAATGGTCCCAAGTTTCAGTAAGGGAAGTTTAGGTCAGATATTAGGAAAAACTTGCTCATGATGAGGGTAGTGAAGCACCAAAACAGGCTACCCAGAGGGGTGATGCAATCTCCATCCTTGGAAATTTTTGGGACCAGGCTAGACAAAGCCTTGTTGGGCATGATCCTGTTTTGAGCAGGGGGTGGACTAGATGACCTCCTGAGCTCCCTTCCAACCCTGATTTTCTGATTCTATGATTCTATTTATGTTTTTCTCACATACAACACCTACCTTTTCCCAAAAATAAGTTGCTAGAAACTGGGATGTGCCCTGTGAACAAGTTCAAATGGCAATAACAGTTTCTCTGTCATGAGCTTCTGCTAGGACTGCACGTTCTCTGTAGGGGATGGCACAATAAACATGCTGGGGTCCCTAGTGGCTGCTATTCAGTTAACGCTACCTACCGGTATCTTCAAAGAAAGAATGTTTTTTTTCCTTCCTTTTGCCTTTTAGAAACAAGATGCATATCTTTTTCTAGATCGTGTTATACATGAGAAAATATGATAGTTACTTCCTGTTTCCTTTTTTTTTTTTAAGGAAAATCTAAAATATCTCAATGTGTCCTTAAAATAATTTTCAATATATATGTAATTGTTAAGGAGTACAAGTGCTTCTTGCTACATACCCAACCACTGGAAATAACTGAAAAAAGGTTTGTGGTGCTGTCCCCATTTGAGCTGTTCCCTATATTGGATTTCTATAAGCCACCAGGTATCACCTTACATTGTTTTTTTTTTCCCTTGGAATTCTTGCACTGAACTTTGAAACATCGTTACTAATTAAGAATGTTCTACATCTATGGTTAATCTCATAATGCATACAGCTGTCTTAAAAATTGTTTAATCAAATGTTCACAGGGAGGAATCAAACTGAAAGCAGTGACCAAATCTTGGAAGGGGAAGAATTTAACAGTGGTCACAAACACAATTGATATCTGATGGTGGACAAAGTGGCTCATTATTAAATTGCACCTAAAACCTATTTTGTAAAAATTAAAGGTTTCTTCAGATTATGGGACTTAGATTAACCATTTTTTTCCTAACCTGGTCTTAACACTGCACTGTTTAGTAGCTTTTTAGAAAGGTGCTCTTAGATATGTTGACTTGGGAGCGTGCTGCAAAGGGCAAGTGTTGGATGCAGTCTATACAGTTGAGCTTCCCTGTAGAATTCCTGTTTAATCCTTCAGTATAACAAAAAGGCTTTTCACTGAAGTACAATGAAATGTATGGGAATATTTACACTTGTCAGCTACTAGCCTCCCTCCTGATATCCTGAGGTTTGTCTTGAGTCCAATGAGGGGTGCCTTGATTTTTTTTTTCACTTCTTTTGCCAACACAGAAACAGGTACTACATCATCACACAATTAGAGACAGAGACCTCACCCTGTCGATCTGTTTTACGCTTTTGTTCTCAATTGTACACATTCTAACATGCTGACCATGTTGTAGCCATACTAAAGAAAGTTTGGCTTGATATTTTAAACCACACAGACTTGATTTTCCACACCCTCATTTGACAGGAGGGGAGCAAACCTTGAGAGATTTCCATTTGAGCAAACCTCCAAAAGGGAGACCGCACTAACTGCCTTTCCTCAACATCCTTTTCTTGAAATAAGTGTTTTGGTGTATGATTCTCTGAGTGCATTTAGTGCTTCTATGGCAACACCCAAGACAGATAGATGTCCTTCTTCACCACAGATATCTATATACAGGCAGCTGCAATGTGAGCTTTGCCAGTTTATCTTCTGCCCCACTGCACTGACAGCAGTATGGTTTGACAGGCACTCATTCCAGGCAGACACCTCCAGGGGTGAGATAACAGTACAGTCTTTTTGCCCATTAAGTCCTTGACTGAGATGACCAACAGGAAAAGGGAGGTTATTTGTGTTAGTTACTGTGCCTGGGGTGTGGAGGCATGTCTGCTAGGAGCTTGGAACATCCTCTCTTTTCAGATACACTACAGAATAAACAGCAAATGCTAGCAGCTTTCAGCAGCCACTGGAGATCTGGGTCAAATTCAAATCAGCAACCTAGAGGTGAAAGTCTCCATATCCCATTACCAAATCCTGAGACACATCCAATCCCCCATTCACATATTAATTGTTGATCATTATGAATTCCATGTTGGGATAATTAATTACTGCATCTGAACTCTGCCTTAGGAATTATTAGATCATTTGGGGCCTATAATTTATTTTATTTAGTACTGTATAAAATCTGCTGCTTTTCTTAAACTGTACTTTATATGCTTTAAGAGGTGTGCAGTGTTTTCTGCAATGCACAAACCACAAAACAAATATATCTCTTATTGGGTCTAGAGTAGTCCTATGAGATTTGTTAGTAGGCCGTGATGATAGACATGAGCAGCCATGCGTCCAGCTAATGAGCTGGCCCAGGGGATGAAGAACAGACCAAGCTACTAGCAATGGATGCAGAAGGTGAGCCAGGAGGATGGCAGAGAACACTGCCAAGTGTTGACTCTTAGAGGTGGTTTCATATATAAAATGAAAAAGGTTTTGCAAATGGATAACTTTTTTTAACCTATAATGAAACATTTATTTCTTAAGAGTATGTTATTTAATCCAATTATTTTAGTAACAAGACAAGCATATCAGTTGAGAGACAAATCAAATCCTTTAGACATTGCCCAGTTCAGATTTCCAAGAGGCTTTAGTACAGCATGTGTCTTGAATAAGGACAGAGTCAAGGACTGCGGGAGTTTGGCCCTTAGTGTGCAAGAGTTATAATTTGAAGGAAGTTGCCAGAAACCTAATTCTGTATGTAAACAGCTAGGGAAAAGCATTAGCAACCTTTTTTGCAGCTAACATTGTTTGCTGTTCCATCCTCTGCTGGAAAGATTTCTCTTATTTGGGGCTTTAAAGTATTTCAAATGGAAGGGCCAGATTCTGTCCTTGAAGCCATGTGCAGAAATTAATAATAATTTTCAATACTGTAGGCTAAAAATACTGTATATTGATTTTTCTCAGCAGACGGGGCACTTTGTGCTGTTTTCATTTGATGTCAACAATTGATAGCATCTAATCATAGGATGAAAAGTGTCCCAGTGGAGTAAAAAGTACAATCCTGATTTGTTAATAATTATAAGGCACCATAAAACCTCAAGCAATGAAATATTTGTCCATGCAGCCGAATTAACTTGTGCACAGTACTAAAAACATTAAGCATCTTTCAAAACTTAGCTGTATACAATGGGATTAGAAGAACATTGAAATTTTAATCTCTTTTGATTCTTGTCCTTCACCTTCCTACTTCAGGGCCAGACTTATCTACATCGCTACTAAACCCCATTATGATTTTTCCCAATCCTAGAGAATACTTGGTGATTCTTAAAGACACTAACTCATCCAGTAGTTACAGGCTTGATGCAAGGAACACTGGAAAAGCTCATAACCTGTATTACGTAGGGGGTCATAATAGTCTTTTACCTTGGTGTCTTTGGTCTGCAGAGTACCTCAGCATCTGCATCTTCGTCCATAGTATCTACTCCTTAGTTTCCCACCTGGCGGCAGACAAGCATGGCATTCTATTTCTCCCCAGAGGATCTACACTGAACAAATACCCTTTGTGCAGAAGGGGGTTCCCCAAAATGGGTAACAGCCTTGGTCTGTATTACCATTTATATATCGGCTCCACAAGGGATGTTTTCTTGCCTTCCTGCCCCAACAACCACCCTCCTTATGGAATTTACCATAAGGAGCTCAACCTTTGACCCAAGAGGGACCCTAGCAAGGATACAAGGAAAGTCCTGTGACTAGGGTGACCATATTTCCCTAATTTCAAACCAAGACACCCCATTCTCTGGCATGCACAGCTGTCTCTAAGCTCTGGGCTCAGCTGTAGGGGAGAGCGTATACTGAGTGCTAGAGAAAGGGAAGCGGAAAAGGAGTAAGGGAGAACAGAGGATATAAAACAACTCCATAATTGCCAGGACAGTCCCATTTAAACACCTGCCCTGGGCACTCCATTGAAAAAGGGGCTAAAGTGATAATTTGACCAAACCAAAGGGATGCCCAGGAAAAGTATTTATAATGGGTCTGTCCCAGCAAAAACAGAATGCATGGTCACCCTACCTGTGACCCTTTCTTTTGGGACCAGAATCAGGAGACTCCTCTGGTCCTTGTCTGTAATTTGAAAAGTCAGAGAAAGTTGTCCTCCACATCAAGTGAGTTTACCTGGATTAGTCTTTTACATCAATGGTCTCCTTTATTCTGTACACTCGCATTACAGAACAAACTGCAGCCATGATGCCTGTGATGCCCACAGTCAAGCTTTCTGTGAGATTTGGAGGTAGCTTGTAGAGAAATCCCACCAAAACCTGAGGCTCAGGCTGAAGTCTGTAGGGATGCATTCATGACCAAGAACATTGTTATGGCATATATTCTCATTCTTTCTTGGATGTGTGCACATATTTAACATCCAAGATGCCCAGCTTTGCGCAGTATTTGAATGACCATAACTGACCCCAACTCAGTATCACATAGCTATTATAAAATGTCAAAGGAACGATAAAACACCCTTCAAGTTTCTGTATGGTTCAAATCGGGATGTTAGAGAGAGACAACAGTGACTTTGTCTCACGCTGCAAAAACTTAGTGTTTAGAACAGTGGTTCTCAACCTTTTTTAGAATCAAGGCACCCCTCATTGGACTCGAGACAAACCTCAGGAAATGCCAGCTCTTAATTCTCACTCGTTTTTTGAGCAATTGTTTTGTTGGAAAGAACTCAAAAGGCCACAACAGGTCAGAATGTTTTTAACAGTGTGAATTCCCCCTTGAAACATCTGGGTTTCTTATGTTTGCCTGCCTAACAATGCCAATATAGTTTCATAGTTTCATAGTTTGTAGGGTTGGAAGGGACCTGAGCCATGGCAGGAAAGAGTACGGGGGTCAAACGACCCCAGCAAGGTGTTTATCCAGCCTCCTCTTAAAGACCCCCAGGGTAGGAGCCAGCACCACTTCTCTTGGAAGTTGGTTCCAGATCCTAGCCACCCTGACTGAAGTAGCACCTCCTAATATCTAGCCTGAATCTACCCTCT